AGCACTGAGAAGTACACCGACAACCTCTATGGAAATCATTCTAAACCTTCCACTCCTTGACCTAGTCATAAAGAGAGAGGCCAGAATGAGTGCATACAGACTGGAAATCTCCAACAACTGGAACCCACTGGGACATAAAAAACATACCAGAATAACACATGAAGTAAATGATTCTATATCAAACATGGGATCACAACACATGACACCCCTCCTCTAACCTTCAATAGACTCTTCCTGGTCAACTGTAACTGGAACGACGTAAATAAGGAGATAGATAAATATAAATACTTGCTTAGCGGTCTCGTATGGTATACGGATGGATCTAAAACTAACAATAGAACAGGCTCTGATGTACATGGAGTTAAATCCAAATGCGACATTATCGTCTCACTGGGAAAACATACGACTGTATTTCAGGTTGAAATACATGCAATCGAATTGTGTGTATGAGAGAATTTAAGAAGGAAGTACAAAAAACAAACCATCCTTATTCTCTCAGATAGCCAAGCAGCCTTAAAGGCTCTTGATTCAAACAGAATCAAGCCAAAGCTTGTCTGGAACTGCCTTGGAATACTAAATGATCTGGCAACCCATAATAAGGTAAAATTAGCGTGGGTATCAGGGCACAAAGGTAGGAAATGAAATGAAAAGGCTGATGAACTCGCCAAAGAGGAATCAGATCTACCATTCACAGGACCCGAACCTGTACTTGGGATAAGCAAAACCTCTGCTCGACAGGCAGTGAACAGGTGGATAACCACAAAACACCAAATTTACTGGCAACAGATAAGAGAGCACATAATCAGTAAGCTTATGCTAAGGGGACCAAACCCACGCATGGCTACTGAGCCACTACAACTCGCAAGGCCTCCGATATCCAGCATTGTGGGATTACTAACGGGGCACTGCTTGCTAAAATACCTTCATGTGATGGGATTACACAATGATCCCACTACGTGTAGACTCTACATAGAAGAGAAAGAAACCTTATACCATGTGATCTTTGGATGCAAAGCTCTCACTAGGCGACGTTTCATCCTTTTCGGCATAGAACCGGAAATAACGTCCCAGGAACACTTGATAGGAAATTTATTAAAACTAACCAAAGACACAGGACTGTTTCAATGATAATGATACGGGGAAAGTAGGGGAATACAATAGACCCAAGAGGTCGAAGTGTTCTGGGCCAAACCTGCTTATAACCGACAAAGATAAAGACAAAAAACCGATTTGCAACAATCTCAAGAAGCCAACAACAGCAGCAAAATGTACGATGCACGAAAAATTTCAGAATTAGAAAGTTTGGAGAATATTAGGAAGGAGAATTCTGAAACTAGCTCATTTAGCAGTATTATAGAGGTAAAACAAGCAAATATAGGTGATTTGCACCCGTCTTAAGGAGCCAGCAACACCAGCGCGCTGTACGCGTTACATAAACTTACAGCTTACGAAAGTTAGGAGAAAAATCCATTCTATACACCACCTGCAAGCTTGTGAAAAGGCCCCTATTCCGTCCTTAAGAAAAATCAATGACCTGATCTGCCACATTCAACTGTCAGCGGGAAGTAAATCCAACGTAGTTCACATTGGAAAGATAGCTCCATACTCGACCATTTCTCAATGTCAGTAAACTCATGCGACTGAAACAACAGTAGTAAAAATAATACCTAAATAACGAGTACAGTTAGTGTTATTAAAATAACGCTTGTAACGCATGTTATTGTAAATTTGGTAGCGCGAACGACGGCAATGAATGGCATCGACCAATACGTTCTCGTTGAGTCGCATTTCGCGAGGAAGGAATCGCCAATCGTTTTGTGTTGTGGCGTTATTTTGCACCTGTTATTTTTTAACTAGATTAACAGTGGTAACCGTTGTGTTTCAACTGACAGCTTAAAAATGACAGATAGTTAAATAACAACACATGACTATTTTACCTCATCAAAAATAAAATAAAAAATATGATAGCATAAGACATCATAACAATAAAATTGTATTTTTTAATGGCCAATATAAACATAATTTTTATATTATTTATTATTTTGCCATAATATATTTTCAATTAATACCTACCAACTGTTTAATTATTTTATGTTATATCAGTTTCGGTCTAAAATAACAGTTATATTAAACCATGATATATTAAATGAAATTTCTAGATTTTATTTTTCTATAAAATACTACCTATCTTCCAAAAATTACTTATTATGACCTTAATCATCAATTTTATAACAATTAATAAACATTGCTTACATTTTCTAAAAAAAAATGTAGATTTGGGTTTCATTCAGAAAAGTCCGTATCTGGCGTATCGGCCATATTGGGTTGACAACATCCACGCCAAGTGATACCGTTTTGAATGTTTGAAAAAGATACTTATAGCGTCTTCCTACCTTATAACTAACTCCATGGTGTTAACCATGTATATAAATAAATACTTTATAATAGTTAATTGCTTTTTTAATATTTTATTATCTTAACTAGCATCTGTTAAAATACTATTAATACCCTGTTCAAATAATTACTGATTTTGTCGTAAAAACAAGTCCTACTCTGCTTCTGTAGATCTCAAAGCTGGCAAATGGCAAATGGCACATCATAATAAAAGTAAAAAAGTAAAGTAAAATACATTTTATCAGAGAAAATATGAAAGATTCAAACGATTTACTTTGTAATAACGGTCATTATTACGAAAAAATTCCTCGCCTTACTGTGTACCAATTTGTCAGTTTTCTATCTGAAACACTCATTCCTATGGGACTTACTCTGAAAATATTGTCTTCCAACCTCGTATAGTTAGGCCATTAAGGCACACGTTTCAGGAGATGAAGAAGTACAAAAATGAAAGTAATACATCACTTCTATCAGACGTAGTTATCTCCACAGTTTGAGGAGAGTCGTAAAATCCTGTGAAACGAATTTAAGATCGACACAGAACAAGTTTTCGAAACTTTTCGTGCGAATACCAGCATTTTATTTCATTGCTATATGTACAAGATGCAGCGAGAGCAGTATCTGTAACGACTAAATTCAATTTTATAAACTTGATGCACTTATACTTCAAAAAACACTAAACCATTTCGCTTTAAAGTAAAATTTTGTTTTATTCTATCTTTGTTGGCGTTTCTAGTCAGTTCAGCAATTTGTGCCTATTATATACCCAAACCAAAGTTTTGATTTTTACTGTAATACGTTACTAGTAATATATATTCATTCTGTGATTTAGGTATTTGGAAAATATTTTTAAATTTAAAACTTATAATCCTAGTGCGCCCACCGAATTTTCTAAAAATTTGTTTGACCTTCGCCAAAAAATAAATGATTCGCCAAAAAAATCGAAGATATGGTGATTATATAGACAGACACACAAACTATTTATTTTTCGCATGCATTTTTTTGTTCTGCGTTTGTTTTCTTTGGTGGCGATCATAATTTGGGTGAGGCACCCAAAAGTTCAGCCCCCTCTGTATACAATTGAATTACCAGAAGTTGTCACATTGAACTCACCCACAAAAACAAATCACTGTAATCACCATAATAATATTCCTTTACAAACTACTAAATTGTTTGACTGATAGTTCTTACCTAGTATCTCAAATTAAGTTCTATGTCCCACCACCGGGATCATTTTCATCCATATAAAGTTTAATTACATCAAGAATTAAATGAAGATGATCCTGATCGACGAATGCAGTTTTGCCAAGAAATGATGGATCGAATTAATGGGAACAATATTATGAATAATATTGTGTTTTCCGACGAATCAACGTTTTGTCTAAACGGATTTGTCAATCGGCATAATTGCCGGTATTGGTCTGATCAGAATCCACACTGGATGATAGAAGATCACACACAATATCCACAAAAGCTAAACGTTTGGGCTGGTATAGTTGGAGGAAGAATAATTGGACCTTTTTTTTCTGATACAAACTTTAAATGGTGATATTTACAACTTCTGCGAGAACAAACAGTTCAAGAATTAATCCGTATATTTCCCAATCGTGCTAATCATTTACAATTGTCAGAGGAAATATGGTTCCAGCAAGATGGCGCCCCACCTCATTTCGATATTAGGGTTAGGGAATACCTCAACATAATATTTCCGCAAAGACGGATATGCCGAAGAGGATATATTCTGTGGCCAGCAAGGTAAACAGATTTAACGCCACTGGATTTTTTCTTTGGGGTCACTTAAAATCTGTAGTTTATAAGGATCTACCTCAATCTCTGGAAGAACTGGAAGATCGAATCAGAGCGGCCACTCAAGAAATAACTCCTGAATTTGTTGATAGAATAGGATATTGCCAGGCAGCCGAGGGCTTTCAGTTTGAACATCTACTTTAAATAAATGTGTCTTATTAAAGTATAATCTAATTTAATTATTATTATAAGACCGTAAATCTGGGATCCACTTAATGTACCATTGATGAATTCAGACAGATCATACGAACTTGAAAAAAATATAAGTACAGGGTGATCCATTTAAAATATTGCCCGATGACGTCATATCTTGAAAACGATTACGTATGCGGGAAATCTGTAAACGTCAATAAATAGTACATAAAATGTACAAACACTTTTATCTAAGTCAAATTATCGTACAAGTCATAGGTAAGCCATAAATCAAGTGTTCCGCCCATATAGAATGACCCTGTATAACGTTTATTTAATAAAGACAATGAATATGCAAACAGCGTTCTAATTATTATTAATACCGGAGACAACCATTCTTTATCATCTACATCAGAGACACAGAACAACCTTTTTCGTCTCTTTTGACATTTGACATTACATTTATCTTAGATCGTCAATAACTAGACTTGAACTTAATATAAGGTAAAAGGAAAGCATTACTTATGAATAAAATGGGTTTATAACAACATAACCCTTTAATATAGTTTTAAACACAAGTCCCAGTCACTAACTTATTTACCGATGAGTACAATCTCGTACTGATGAATCTCTGCAGTATAAAAGGATAACCCTGTATGAATACTTACAACACAATCGAGCTCGTCGAAGATCTCAGCGACTCCATAAGGCAACGTAACTTTCGATCGTAAAATATAGGATGTTCCTATCTGGTCAATTTCCAGTTCACCTTTCATTGTGGGATAAATTATGACATCCAATTCTATTAAGCCTTCCCAGCTAAGTGGATCATCGTAATCTTTCTCTTCTGTTTGCCGTTGCTGCGTTTGTTTGGGTCTCATACGGACATTTTTCAGTTCGACGCCCAGTTCTTTGAAGGGCTTCGGTTTTGGTTGGCCCAGAAGTTTGACGCCTGCCTGGAAAATTTATATATTTCAGTCAGCAAAATTAATTACATTATATTTAACATTTTGATATAACCATATGTTATCTATTGTTACAGTTTTGTTAATAAACAGTATGGTACAAATGAAGGAAATAAATTCATTATTACGTAACTCCTGAGACCCGTTTCGTTATAAAACCCGCATTTTGTAAGATATTCTTTTTATTCATGTGAGTATGATGACGTCATCGATGATTTTTTAAAAAGAAATACGATACATCATTTGAAAGGTATTTTAATTATATATCCAATCCTATAAGATTTATGTACTCTCAAACGGTATTACAATTAATATTATTGATTATTAAATACAACCAAATTCAAAACAAATACTTAAATTGAAAATCCTCTGCTATAACACAGTGAGACAGATGAGTACTAAATTCTTCCCGAACTTTTTCAATAACCTTCTGAGTTATTTGTGTCATCTCGACTTGGTTTAAAAGTAAAGATGTTTTGTTAGAATCCAACCATATTTTTCTGAATGGTGGTTCTGATTTTTCATAATTGCAGATTTATAATAAGTTTAAATAAGTTCCTCTGTTTTTGAGCTAAATTCATAATTTTTTATCTCCCTCGTATATGGTTCAATTTTTTTAAGAATAAAATTTTCTGAGAAAATAATAAAAAAGTTTTCTATAAAGTGCCGTCATTTTTTAACATCCTGAAAGCGTCTGGCAGACGTAATCCCCCGCGAAACGTGTCAAGCAATTGTTGATATGAGATTATAATGTCATCTACTTGGACATATAAAAAACCAGAATTATAGAAAGTAAAAGGCAGATACACGGAAAAAAATTGACTGTTAGCGAAATTTTACTTGCTGCAAATAAAAAGTTTTATTTAGACGATCTACTCTTAGTGAACTATTTACTTACAGTTACTGATTTTAGTTATGTTGGTATTAATTCTCGACTAATTATTGTTTCAGAATAAATAATAAGACTTTTTGCCATTAGATAAGGTCACTGTTAGTTTAGTTGCCTTCCTATTTGTGATGTTTTGTTATTTTTAAACATTAATAAATCAATACGTAATGTAGCAAATTTCAAATTTTTTTGCACGGTTGAATAGAGAATAAAACTCCCTTTCAAACGAGCTATCACTCACCACCCCATGCCATTTAAATTTTTCGAAAGGGTTGCTCCCCTCCAGTAAGGGACGAAATTAAGGGTAAACTATTCATACAAAAATGTACATTGTTAAAATCAAAAATCGACGTGTCTCGGCGATTTTCCTAACAAGACTTCAGTAACGAGTTAGTTAGGGGGGGTAAGACTTATGATGCTCACTGTATAATAACTGCTAACAAATTAAGTCAGCTCGGTTTTTTAAAATCAATGCAAATGTTCTTTCTTTCCTATTAATCACTAAGAAAACAGTATGTAACCTATAATAGCTTCTCATCAAAACAATTTTTCGCTACGTTAGGGGTGCCCCAAGGTTCTAATTTAGGACCCTTACTTTTTTTATTCTTTATCAACGATATTACAGATTTTATTTCTTGTCCAATACTCTTGTTTGCAGATGATCCAAAGCTCTTTTTTAAAATTTCTGACATATATATGACTGTCTATTTCTTCAGGAGCAGTTAGATCAGTTACTAATTTGGTGTAGGCGCAATAAGTTATTCCTTAACATTAAAAAATGTAAAGCTATAACTTATACTAGAAAAGTGAACCCAATAAACTTTAATTATACAATAAACAGTGAAATTTTGTTCAGATATTCCAAAGTTGAAGACTTAGGTGTTATTTTTGACTCAAAGCTAACCTTCAACGATCATATTGACACAATTAGTAAGGCGGCACATAAAACACTTTAATTAGAAACTGTCAGAAGTTCACAACCGATCTTTCTCTCAAAGCTTTGTATTTTGCTTTAGTGCGTTCTAAACTTGAATATGCATCCGTAATTTGGAAAAATCCAATAGATTCGCAGAACATTTATCAACTGTTTTCTCCGCCCCACAACCTAACGATATCAATGACGATAAAATTAGAGCCTTCCTTAATGTCCCCTGTCAGTTGTCACTACCACTGAAATACAACACCAAAAAATCCTATCAAGTTAATTTCACAAATCGAAGAATTAGATGTCCACAACTATACTTAAATAATACGCCTACACCAATAAATACAGAAGTAAAATACCTTGGACTTCATTTAGACCAAAAACTTACTTGGAAATTACATATTAAAGCTAAATGACGGCACCTCGACCTAAAAGTTAAAAATATGAGCTGATTAATCAACAGAAGATCGAAACTTTCATTCGAAAACAAAATGGTCATCTATAAAGCAATACTCAAACCATCTAACACTAAAATACTACAGACGTTCCAGTCCAAGACTATTCGAATGTTAGCTAACGCCCCATGGTACGTTTCCAACCAAACCCTTCATGCAGACCTCAACATTCCATTCATAGATGATGTGATTACCCACCACTCCAGAAAATATATGAATCGCAATGAAAACCATCTAAACCACCTCATAGTCGAACTCGAACCTAACCCCCCACTCATCGATAGACGCTTAAAAAGACTTTGGCCAGAAGACCTAGCTGTTAGGTGAATTCCAGAGAGTCGTCAGTGGATGACACCTGCCTCAAGCCACCCACTTCCATCAAATTTACTTATTACTTTATTGAAATAGATTGTAAATTAGCATTGAATAAAATAATAAAATAAAAAAATATGTAGGTCAGGTTTGGGGTGTTAAAATGGCAGTTGGAAAAACATTTTTTCTGATGCCATCGTGTGGGGTATCAAAATTTTAAAAATGTATACTATGTTCGTTTGAGTTACTTTGGCTTTAACACTTTTTCGAAGAAACGCGTAAAAATTGCTGTCTCCGAAACTTATATCCAAAAGTAACGCTCAGAAAAATCAAAAAAGATCACAAACATTGAGAATTAGGTGTAAATTAAACGAACATCAGATTATATTTCATTAAACAGTTCTTTTTTATACAAAATTCTACTACTGTATTGATACTTTGTATCAGCACCTGGCCTAAATCTATCAATATAATTATTATTAACTCTACTTATTTTAACAATAACTACGGAACAGTAAAGTAAAAACCCAATTTTAAGAAAACCCTGTATTTCTATTGTTCCAATTTTTAAAAGTAGATACTTTTTAAGATGTATTAATTATTAATAGACATTTATTTAATGCTATCAGAGAGAAATTTAATTTAGAATTAGATGTAATTTTAAAATTATTGCGTTAATATTTTTCCCGCAGTAATGCGGGAAAAATATATTTTCTGGCATAAATTTTAATATTAAAAACTGTTCTTGAAGTGTGCCTAGGGGTTGTAAAGACGTCTTAAGAAACGAAGTTTTTTAAAGTACTGGAAAAATGACTTTAACTTTTGGTAGCAGAAAGTTACAAAGTTAAAAACATTTAAGTATTTTCCTTTAACGTTTTTGAAAAAAAAAATCCCGAAATTAATGAATAAGTAGATTTTTATTTTATTATTTCATTATGAAATCATCTTTTACAGCCATGAAGCATTATGATGTGTTTATCTGTTCTAAATTTTATGTTTTTTATCTGATTCCCTTTTGCAAATATGAATATTACAAAGTTCGGAACCTACAAGTTGTGCTTTCCTTCTCAAAAATAATCTTAAAAGAGAAGGACGGCTTTATTTGGAAGTTTCTGCCGTTATACAAACTCTCCAGTGTCAACAAAAAAAAACAATATTTTCTTTCCCCTATGGTATATATTTACATGAGTAAGCGTCGATAAAACAGCAGATTAATATTTTCTCATATCGTTTCTTCTTTGCCGGTTTAACCGTAGCATCACTTATTAAAATATTCTTTTTGATCTAAAAATATATAACATTGTTGCTCCCAATTCGGTTTTCGGAGGAGCAAAGGGATGAGTTAAAGCTCGTCTAATATTGCATTAAGTAACTCAATATAGGTCGTGATTGGAGTAAAAAAAAGTGGAAGAGTGTGATAACGACGTTTAAAATAATTTCGGGGTTTTCAGCGATCGTTTCCTTTTCTCCAGACTAAATCATATTCGAAATTAGACGTATATATTTCCTTTTTTTGTGTTCTATTTTTAACAACGGCCCTTTCTCTACAAAACCACATTAAGATTGAATCCATTGAACTTTTATACGGAAAGATTTTGCTCTATACCGAAATGGAATTAAAAATTTAACTGTAATAAAATATAAACACCTTTTTTTAGTTGTTATTGATATAAAAATTAATAAATAAATTATGGTATTTAAGATTAAATTAAATTTTTTTGAACTCCACTTTTGGAGTTTATTAGAGGTGGTTCTATAGTGGAACCACAGGTAATTACATTTTTTTTTTTTTTTTAATTTTAAAGTTCTTCATTTCGCATGAAAACAATGTTACAATTTATTGAATATGTAGTTTATTCTTGCAATGAAAAAGGTCTAAAAATAGGCCATTTTCTACCACACGTTTTTAATTAAAAACAATTAATTTAAAAAAAAATCAATACCTGAACCACTTAAGATGGGCCTTTATTTACAATTTAAAAAAAAAATAGTACGATATACGGTATAATTACGGTAATAGTTACAATTAACTTTTGGTCTGCAGACGCCATTCTAATGCACAAGGATACTCTCTCCTTAAGATATCTTTGAACCAACTAAGCCCAAGTTAAATGTCCATTTGACGACACGCTACGCGATATATCGCAATAAAATGTCTATTATTAATCGGTATTTTATGCTGTGGTCTACTCTATAGTATTATCGAGTTGTGCCAGAATTACTACCTAGATAAAACTTTAAAAAATTAAATTAGTGTGATATATAAGGGTCGATCTGTAAATAACTAAAAAAAAATAATAATTAGCTAATTTTGCCACAGCTTTACGAATTTTATTTCGTACGTGTGCGACATAAAACCGGATTTATCTTTTTAATTTGTGAGTTCCGCCACTGTAAATGCCGAATAGAT